TCAGGCACAGGCCCTTGGCAGAGAGCGAGATCAAAGATCAACCTCTGTGCCTTAGGTTAGCATGGTATCCTTGCCTACTAGTGCCTCCTTGCATAGCAACGGGACTCCTTCCCTTCTCCATGAGGCCTCTGTTGTCTCCTGGAAGGCTGCGATATGACCTTTTCCTCCAATTCAGTTAGGATTCCCTCCACCCAAACATTTAAATCTTACTCAGCTGATTACTGCAAAGAACCAAGGAAAAGTATCCCAGACACCTTAATTTAAAGAACCTGACTTAGGGGCGCCTGGGTGGCTCAGGTGGTTGGGCATCTGACTCTTGGTTTCAGCTCTGGTCATGTTCTCATGGGTCCTGGGATAGAACCCCCCACATTGCGCTCTGCGCTCAGCAGGGAATCTGCTCGGAAGACTCTCTCCCTCTGCCCCTCCCCCCACTCACAGGTGCACACCCCCCTTCTCTCCCAAAATAAATAAATAAATCTTAAACAAATAAATAAAAATAAAATAATAAAGAACCTGACCCAGAATTTGCCATATGGCCACCAAGGTTTCAGCTCTGAAAGGAAGGAAGGGAATGCTGAATCATTCCGCTCCTAGGAGACAAACTGTTACACACCCTCATTTCCAGGTCAGATGCATTTTTTCGGTCTTGATGTCTATCCCTGAGTTTGTGACTATCCTTGTTTCCTGAGATAAGAAATTGTCATTGTAAAGGCCTGTGGGTGGTCAAAGAACTTAATTTGCCCTGGTGATTCTGGCCCCATAGAATGGCTCATCACAGAAACATTCACACATCCAAGCATGATCTCCCAAACAGAACCTAATTAGGGTAAAAGTCTCCTATGCTTCAAATTAGCCTCTCGGGCCCTTCACTCAATCATCCAAAAATTAATTGCAAGCCTACTGTGTACCAGTTATGGAGCATACATCTGAGGGATCCCCAGTCATTTACGGAGAGAGAGAGAGAGAAGATAAACTTTGTAAATAGATAAATTACAATAAAATATGATGGATGTTATTTTAAACAATGTTACTTGGCAGCAGACCGGAAAGGGATTGCCTGAGGGAAGGGGAGGGGAGGGAGTTCAAGAAATACCTCAAAGAGTCCAGTGATGTGAGCTGAGGCTGAAGAAGGAATACAAGTTTGGCGCGTGGTGGAGAGGGAGCCGCACCAGATGGGCACCCCGGGCTGGGGAATTCAGCGCATGGGGTCTGGTGAAGTCAGGGCAGGCAATGCATGGATGGGTGGAGTGGAAGAGAGGAAACAGGTCTGCTGAGCCTGCAACTCCTGAGTATTGGTCCTGACAGCCACCCAGTGCCCTGTGCCAGATACCCGACTGACATTTATAAGAGTTAATTTGTAGAAAGCACCCCGACACCTTCCCGGTTGTATTTTGCTTGGACTATTACTGTGTTCATTTGGGGGACATATTCGCCACCACCCTAGCCCACGGGGGAGACTAATTAAATATTTGCTGAACGAATGAAGAACTTGTGGTTTCTAAGAAGGAATGGAGGTAGACAGGACTCTCATGATGCCACATCCTGCAGAATGGCGAAGGGAAAGCATTCTCTGCAGGATTGCTTCGGTCACTGGAAGATCATTCCACTCTTCCCCGCGGCCATTCCCACTCATCCCATCCAAACCGACGCTGGGGCGGCTAGATCACTCATCACAAAACCTTGCATTTGCACGGCATCTTCAGCTTACTCATATTACCTTGTTTAAATAACTGCAATCTTTAAATCCCAAACTTCCCATCTCTTGTATGAATCCTATTTCCAGATATAACCTGAAATTTTTGGTCTCTGGATTTGGGGTCCCACTAGCCTCCACAGAAGGAAGCTCAGGAGGTCCTGCCCATACTGTCCCAAACGGACTCCTGCATCGACCCCTGCACTAATTTTGAGAAGGAATGAAGGGAGCAAGGTATGCATGCAGACTTTGTGAAAGGGGTGCCTTAACTTCCTGAACTTTAAAATCACTTTGCAGGCACCTGGGTGGCTCAGTTGGTTAAGCAACTGCCTTCAGCTCAGGTCGTGATCCTGGAGTCCCAGGATCGAGTCCCACATCGGACTCCCCACTGAGTGGGGAGTCTGCTTCTTCCTCTGACCCTCTCCCCTCTCATGCTCTCTCTCACTCTCTCTCTCTCAAATAAATAAATAAAATCTTTAATAAAATAAAATCACTTTGCGAAGTCACTGTCTAGCCTCAGTGTAATTCCACATCCATGGAAAAAGGTACCATGGGCTGCAGATGCCCTCGCACATACTTATCCCACATCTGGAGCTGGGAATTAGATCAGGTCTCGAACTGTGTGCTAACTAGCTGGATGGCACTGAGTAGCTTTGAGCATCAGGTCCTTTATTAGTAAAACGAAAGGGTCAGGATGGTTGATCTCAAAGGCTTTCCAGCTCTCACCCTCAATAATTTGCAAATGGGAAATGGCATTAGTAACTATTTCTGTATTTCAAAGCCAGTTAAGTTCTAGAGTTTATTTCAGAGGAATACTTGGCTCAGCAAATTACCAAGGCTTTCCTATAGTTTGACGATAGAGGAAACTGGGAAATAGAGCGCATATCTTTATTCACTCAAAAATATTTACTGAGTGCCTATTACTGCAAGACACTGTTCTAGTCATCGTTACAGCACTGAACAAGCAAAGGAGCTCACTCTTTGCACGGAGCTTACTTCTTTGTGCTTCAATTAATCCAGCCCCATGACAAATAAATCTCTTCACTGCTTTGGATGGCAGAAATAGTGACCTGATAGGTTTGTTTTATGTGTCATGAATTGTGTCTGGCTATCTCTGAATTAGCAAAAGATTAAACTGCTTCAAAAACTGCCTGTCTTCAGTTTCTCCAGCAACTAATAACTAGGTATATTTTCTCGTAGTTTAAAAAGAAGTAACTTCTGGTTTGTGAACAGATTGAGATATATTCACACATGAATTCCCATAAAATTTTAAGACACTAAACAAAAGGGTTTAAATGTTTCCTGCAGCACTGAGAATATAATTTTCTTTTTCTAGGACTGATTCTTTAAAATGGTTTGTTTGTTTTTTTAAGTTTTTAAAAAGTAATCTCCACGCCTAATGTGGGGCTCAAACTCATGACCCCAAGATCAAGAGCCACGTGTTCTACCGACAGAGCCAGCCAGGCACTCCTCAAATGCGGTTTTAGATACAAAACAGAGAGAATTTCCCTACTCTTTCACAGAATGCGGTATGGGTCTAGAACAGGAATATGATGTGGAACTTCAATTACTATATCTTTAAAAAGGCATCTTTACAAGCTGTAAAACAAAGAAATAAAACGAAGAGTTCTACTGACGCTGGGGGTAGAAAGATGTATATGCTAGGTCTAGATCAGTAAAATATAACATCATTCCATTGAACAATTTTAGAGCTAGAAGAACCTTAACCCTTAGTTTTATACAAACAAGAAACCTGAGATTCAAAGACATAAAGTGACCTGGCCAAGGCAAAGTCAAGATACTTGTTAGCAGCAAAGCTGTGCTAAGGGGCACCTGGGTGGCTCAGTCGTTAGGTGTCTGCCTTTGGCTCAGGTCATGGTCCCGGGGTCCTGGGATCGAGCCCCGCATCGGGTTCTCTGCTCAAACCGGCGGGAAGCATGCTTCTCCCTCTCCCACTTCCCCTGCTTGTGTTCCCTCTCTTGCTCTGTCTCAAATAAATCTTAAAAAAAAACAAAAAAAAAGCTGTGCTAGGAATCCAGGTTTGCAGACTGCTTGTTCAGGAATCCAGTTCTACATTAACTAATTGTTAAGAGTTTTAGCAAATCAAGAATAGAGAGACAGTACCCCTTACAGATGACACACTGTTTCTAAACGTAGGGCACCTAAGGCTTGTAGTCTATTTCTCCAGGAGGCTATACAGTCTGATATTACTTATGAAGGGTTTGGGTAAATTTATGGATGAAGCATCTAGAACAGATACATTAGACACAGGTCATATTCAAAATCCCTATAAGTAACCTGTTCAGAATTTGGAATCCCTTTCCTCTGCTAAAGAAAAGTAACAAATTATAAGCTTATTTGACCAAGTATGGTTGAAATAGTAAGAATGATGTCCCAAAAAGCACCCTGAACTGGGCCCAAATTCCCCCCACCCCCAGTCCCACATCTGATCCCCGCGAAGTAGCTGGCTTACTTCCAGAGTGGAGGCTGGAGCCACTCAAACTGCAGGCTACAGGGGGTTCCTAAACCAAGGATTCCCATCGGAGACTGCTTGCATTAAAGATAATTAAGAATACCTAAACACATACTTAACCTTTTGAGGTCAGGGTCACAGATGATAACCATGTCTTACTCAAAAATGTCTCTTGGACACAGCAGTGGAGAAATATGAGACCAGAATGGTCTGTACCTGAAATCTTGGCTTTTCTGGAATCAGAATTCAACACTTTTAGAAAGGAGGATGAGTTTAAAGAAAATCCATCAACGGTCTACTCTCCCACTTACACACTCAAGAGGTGACTCCAAACATAAATTTCTCCCCTTATATAGGTTCCTAGTTTGGGAATGATATTCTATAGTGCACTATTGATGCTTACACACTCCTGGAAAACTTTTAGAAACATTCATCTTAATGGCAATTTCGTAAACGTAGTAAGGGTTTCTATAAAGCTATACTGACAGGGTACGGATGCGAGCAGAATTGCAAATTTGGGGTTTGCAGCTTGATTTTCCTCGGACCTCCAGGCGGCTTCAGGCGAATTCGAGTTCCTCCCAAAACAAAGTCCCCTATGTACACGGAATCCCGTTCTTAAATCTTGGCCTCAGGGCAGACGGCGGTGGTCAAAGGAAGCTCTCAAGGTTAGGGGCTTTCTCCAACCCAAGGAGAGCTCGCGGGGAGGGCGGCTGGTCTTGGGGGGGGGGTGCCGAAGGAGACTTGGCTGGAGGAGGCCCGGCTGCGCGCGCCCACCGGCCGGCTTCCGGGGACCCCGGCGCGCCTCCCCGCCCTCCCGGGGCCCGCCTCGCTCACCGAGGTGGCCGCCGACGACGGTGACGGCGATCTGGTCCATGAGCACCGCCCGGAAGCGCACGTCCTGCTCGGAGCAGCGCTGCCGGAGGGCGCGCAGGATCTGCACCTGCGGGTAGTCCTCGCGGATGCGCCGGTCCGTCAGGAACCAGAGCTGGGAGCACATGGCTGTCAGGGCGGCGGCGCCCGGCGCGGCGCGGGCCCCCTCGACGCCCCGGGCCGCTCG